CAAGGAAAGGGAAAAAAAACAGACAGATAGGTAAATAAAGGTTTTACATTATTCCACTTCAACATAAAGAATAGCTGTGCAGCAAACAGTGAAGTCTAACTTTAATCAGGTAAATACCAATTAGTTCATTTTAAATAAAAAGGTGATATTTGTAATTTATTCATACTTTACAATCTAGATTTTAATCTCTTATCAGAAATATGTACACATATTTTTGCAAAATCTTGGTTAATGCTGATTTTTCTCTTGTAGATCCAAAAATTCCAGTCATGGCCCCATATACTCAGGCCCAGAAGTTGAAAGTTTGTGACCTGTGTAAGACTGAATTGGTACAAGTTTACTGTGATACTTGTTATGTCAAACTGTGCAATGCCTGTATTGGGGAACACATGGCATCTGACAAATTAAAGTACTACAAACATGAGATTTTATTAACAAAATTAACAAAATTAACCTTGTAAATATAGACTCTCAGGACATTTCAGAACAGTTTGGTATTAAACTGAATGTTAAGAGAAATACAGAAAACTTCCACAAAATTTTGAGCTGTCATTTCCAAAATTTATTCCAGGGAAAATCCAAGGAGATGAACTTTGTAGCCATTTTGGGACCAATATCACCAACTAAACTATTTTAAAGCATGCGGTTACAGTTCCCCTCCAGATAATCAGCTGCTTTACAACCCAGAGATCATCACTAAAATAAACACCAAATTGCAGTACAAATTCAATCTTTATAATGTGGCCTGTCTGAATGATGATGAAATCTTGTCAAGTGGAATGGAGAAAACAAGGAATCTCTACAATGTTATTTGGGGATCACTTTTTAAAACCATCCCAACCATCAGGAAACATTCCCTTTGACACTGCAGTAACCAAACAAGGCTATATTGTTTATACCGATCCTACCCCTACCGAGCAAACTGTGAACATTGTGAAGAATGAAAACATTGAGACTTTGATTAAATTAAAGAAATGGAGACCTTTTAATATCTGCTCTACCTCCTCAGGTGACCTCCTGGTTGTTATGCAGATCAGTGATGATTTTCAACAATCAAATATTGTGGGATGTTACTCTGGTACCACAAAGAAACAAACCATATGCATTCTGTTTTATGATAGGGGTCATGGTTTTCATTCATCTGATAACACCACTAAATGTTTCACTGAAAACAAGAACCTGGATATCTGTGTGGCTGACAGTGGAAGTAATGAAGTACTGGTGGTCAATCAGGCTGGGACACTGAGATTCAGGTACTTACCTACTCCAAAGAACCAACCATTCTATCCAGCAGGAATCACCACAGACAGTTAGTATCACATCCTTGTTGCTGATACATGTATAAACAATGAATGTGTCCACATCATAGACCAGGATGGACGGTTTCTCTGTTACATAAAATGTGGACTAAGTCCTATGGGATTATGTGTAGACACAAATGTTAATTTGTTTGTTGCTCAAAGTGCAAATAAACAAGTCATGAAAATCAAGTATATGCAGAGAAGTTGAACACAAAGCTGAATTGGAGTACGGCTTTGTACATTATGTCATGTAAATTATATAAAGAATGATCTGATGGGCATATGCATGCCACCTTGGACTTGAGACATTGGTCTGGATATTTAAACCTGTATCATGTATGGAGGTACAGAATCGTCATAATAGAAAAGAAAACCTTTCGTAAGTTGTCATAGCCATGTTGTACCAGTGTTATGGGCACTTATATGTGTAAGCCGGATGTAGCATAATATTTTGATACCACGATATATTGAGCCCGAGTTCAATATATCACATAATATTTTGAACCCGGGTTCACTTTTTTGCTGTGATATATTGAACCCCCCTTTTAAATTATTGAACCCCTACCTTTTTCATTGAAGAGGGAGGGGGGTTAAAATATTATGGCCATAATATATTGAGTCCCTTTGCCAATTTACTTTTAAAGGGAGGGGGTTCAAATTTTATGGCCATAAAATATTGAGTCCCCTGCCCTTTTTTTTTTACAGGGAGGGGGTTCCCATGCCCCCATGCCCTATTAATTTTTCAAGAAGGGGGTTCAAAATATTATGGCCATAAAATATTGAGTCCCCATGTTCCATTAAGTTAAGTGGTGGGGGTCAAAAATATTATGGCCATAAAATATTGTACCCCCTGTCCTTTTCAGTTTTAAAAGGTAGGGGGTTCAAAATATTATGGCCATAAAATATGGGGTCCCCCACCTTTTTAATTTAAGAGGGAGGGGATTCAAAATATTATGGCCATAAAATATTGAGTCTCCTGCCCCCTTAAATGTATGAGGGAGGGGGTTCAAAATATTATGGCTATAAAATTTGAACCCAACTGTCCATTTAAGTTAAGAGGAAGGGGGTTCAAAATATTATGGCCATAAAATATTGAGTCCCCCTACCCTTTTAATTTAATGGGATGGGTTAAAATATTATGGCCATAAATATTTAGTCTCCTGCCCATTAAATGTATGAGGGAGGGGGTTCAAAATATTATGGCCATAAAATATTGAGTCTCCTGCCCATTAAATGTATGAGGGAGGGGTTAAAATATTATGGCCATAAAAATATTAGCCCCCGCCCTTTTTATTTTACAGGGGGGGGGGGGGGTCAAAAAATTATGGCCATAAGATAATATTGAACCCCTCTGTCCTTTTCAGTTAAGAGGGAGGGGTTCAAAATATTACGGCCATAAAATATTGAACCCCCTTGTCATTTTAAGTTAAGAGGGAGGAGGTTCAAAATATTTTGGCCATAAAATATCAAGTCCCCTGTTCTTTTACTTTAACACTAAGGGGGGTTCAAAATATTATGGCCATAAAATAAGATCCTCCCTTTTAATTCATGAAGGACGGGGTTCAAAATATTATGACCATAAAATGTTGAGTCCCCTGCCCTTTTTATTTTACAGGGGGAGGGGGGGGGTCAAAATATTATGGCCATAAGATAATATTGAACCCCTCTGTCCTTTTCAGTTAAGAGGGAGGGGGGTTCAAAATATTATGGCCATAAAATATTGAACCCCCTTGTCATTTTAAGTTAAGAGGGAGGAGGTTCAAAATATTTTGGCCATAAAATATAAGTCCCCTGTTCTTTTACTTTAACACTAGGGGGTTCAATATATTTATGGCCATAAAATATAGGAGTCCCCCTACCCTTTTAATTCATGGAGGAGGGGGTTCAAAATATTATGGCCATAAAAGTTAATCCCCTGCCCTTTATTTTACAGGGGGGGGGGGGGGGGTTCAAAATATTATGGCCATAAGATAATATTGAACCCCTCTGTCTTTTCAGTTAAGAGGGAGGGGGGTTCAGAATATTATGGCCATAAAACATTGAACCCCCTTGTCATTTTAAGTTAAGAGGGAGGAGGTTCAAAATATTTATTTTATGGCTATAATATTTTGAACCCCCCTCTTTATGAATTAAAGGGTAGGGGGACTCATATTTTATGGCCATAATATTTTTAACCCTGTGTTCAATATTTTATACGGGGGTTTGATATTTCGCAGCGATATTTTGAACCCAGGTTCAAAATATGCGGGGTTCAATATATTATCGGGAGTTCAGGGTAGGGTGGTTGACGTTTCCTTCAAGGACAACTTATATGAGGGTTGTCCAAATTGTTTGTGGACAATGATGTTTTTGTGAAAATAAATGGTTTTATTTATATTCTATTTATATCTTTTGTTTATCAAAATATTTCTTTATAAAAGACTTTGTCATATTTTTGTAAAAATCGGGGTCTTTATAGGTTGCGAATAGTGCACACAGACCAAGGTTAAAAATGCCATAAACTTTGAAATAAAGTTTTTGTATGGCATGCCAAATTCACAAAAATGAGCTAAACATAATTTCGCAGTCAATTAACTAGGTTTATAAATTGTAAACTATAGTTTACGGACTTTAAACCATAGTTAATGTGATAATCTTTGTTTCAGAACCGTAAACTATACTTAACACTGAAAACAATCAATTGCAATTGCAAAACATAGATTATCTGATAAATACAGTTTCACAATTTGTAAACTATGGTTTACTCTTAACTATAGTTAACTATAGTTAACGATCTGATAAATATAGTTTCACAGTTAAATTTTAAAATTTTAAACAAGAGATGTTTGTAAAACACTTATGCCCCCCTCCCCCACAAATTGGAATTTTTCTAAGTTCAAAAGGGCATAACTCTGTCAAAAATGGTGCAATCATACCCAAAACAGAACTTAACCTAGATATTCATTTGACTAATCTGTATACTAAATTCCAATTCAATATGTGCAACCTCTCCAAAGAAAATGAACAGAAACTGCAAATAGTTGGAATTTTTACTCAGGTGACCTATTGCTATCCTTTTGTCCTCTTCTTTCTGTGCGTTAACATTTGAACATTTTCAGCTTCTTCTCTGAAACCACTGAACCAATTTCAACCAATTTTCAATAGCATCTATGGGTGAAGGGGAACAAAAATTGTGAATTTCATGATCCCCCCCCCCTGGGGCCTGGGGGGTGGGGCCAAAACGACTAAAATTAGTCCAATCATTGAAAATCTTCTTCTTTACTCCTGGACATCAAGCAGTAAAATTTTTTCATGATTGTAATCAGCTTTGAGTCCTCTCCCAAATTTTTAAAAATTCATGGCCCCAGGGTCGGGGGTTTAGGCTAGGGCGGGGCTATATAGATTATATAAAAAAATGCATTATTTTTTAAAAATCTTTTTCTTCTCCTGGGTGTTAAATAAACCAACTAAGTACATAGTTATGATGGCAAGAGTCCCCTTTTCCCCAGATTTGTAAATTTTATCCCCCAGGGTGGGGTTTCTGGTGTTAGGGTGGGGCTCTATAATGATTAAAAGTGAAAATACATTTATTCTATGAAAATTTTCTTCTCTGCTTCTGGGTATCAAATAAACTGACTAAGTTATAGTTATGACAACAAGAGTGCCTATTCTAAAATTGTGAATTTAGGGCCCCCAGGATGGGGGTTTAGTTGGGGCTGGCTATAAATTATTAGTGAGAATGCATTATTTCTTTAAAAATCTTCTTCTCTGCTCCTGGGTATTAAATAAACTAACTAAGTACATAGTTATGATAAGAAAGATGCCTTTTTTTTAAAATTGGGAAATTTTATCCCCCAGGGTCAGGGGCTCTGGTTTAGGGTGGGGCTCAAAAATGATTATATAGTGAAAATACAATAATTCTTTGAAAATCTTCTTCTCTGCTTCTGGGTATCAAATAAACTGACTAAGTTATAGTTTTGATGAGCAAGAGTGCCTCTTCTAAAACTGTGAATTTCATGGCCCCGGGGTGGGGGTTTGGTGTTAAGGCATGGCTCATTGATTATATAGTGAAAATGATTATTTCTTTAAAATTTTTTTGCTTCTGTGTGTTAATTAAATAATAAGTACATAGCTATGATGAGTAAGAGTGCATCTTTTAAAACTGTGAATTTTATGGCCCCGGGGTCGGGGTTTTTGTGTTAGGGCGGGGTTTTTGATTATATAAAAAAAAATGCATTAATACTTTGAAAATCTTCTTTGCTTCTGGGTATTAATTAAAATAACTAAAGTACATACTTATGATAAATGGAGTCGTTTTTTAAAATTGTAAATTTCATGGCCCCTGGGTCAGAGGACTGGGTGTTAGTATGGGGCTCTATTGATTATATAGTGAAAATACATTAATTTTTTGAAAATCTTCTTTTTGCTCCTGGGTTAAAAGCAATGAACTACTTCATTTATGATGTGCAAGGGTTTTTTTCTTAATTGTCAACTTACAGGCTCCTGGGTCAGGGATCCAGGGAGGGGGGGGGATGGGCTCTTCTTTAAAACTGAAAATGAATTGTTTGAAATCTGCTCCTTGGTATTAATCAAACATTTTTGATAAGCAAGTGGCCTTTTTTTAAAAAATTTTGCAATGTGTTGACCTAGGGGGGGTTCATGTTTGGTTTTTGTTCCCCTATCCATCCATGGGTTTAAAGGCTTGGGGGCAACAAATTAACAACAAATTAACCACCAGAAAAACTTAAATGATATGATATCTTTAGCTGTAACTATATTTGACAAAGAAAAATTTATACTATTAGTTTTAAAATTTGATTATTTTTGTTTATCTTTATATGGAGCTCTTCTTTTAAAGGAGATAGAAATAGTCTAAAAAAGGCCATGACCACCCACCCCCTTTAAGTAACCAAACTAAGCAATTGCAAAGTTCATAGTTATGATTAGCAATGGTGCCAGCTGCCAGCCTCTTTCAAAATTGTGAATGCCATAACATCTACCTTAAAATTGAGCCAAATTCTATCATTTGACAGT